AACACATATTGTAAGCCAATCCCAAGAAATCAAAGGCTGAATGTTCTCTCTGATATGTGGATGTTCACACACAACAGGCTGGGGTGGGGGGACAGAAATTCATTGGATTAGTCAAAGGGGAATAAAGGGAAGGGAGGGGGAGAGGAATAGGGAAGACTGTAGAATGAATCCGATGTAACTTTCCTGTGTCCACATATGAATTCATGCCCATTGTACTTTCACATCACATACAACCCCAATAATGGGATCTTAATTAGAATATGTTATACTCCATGTATGTATAATATGTCAAAACACACTCTACTGTCATGTATAATCTAAAAAGAACAAGTAAAACATGAAGAAATTGTCGAGAATGCATCAATTCTCTTCTTGAGAGCAGGGAAGAATTCAAAACTGATCATGACTAGATTGTTACTTTTCTTACTAGAACTTGGACTTCCTTTGGGTTTCCTTGGTAGTGATATGTGATCTCTCTGTGGGTAACAAACTTCTGAAAGCACTCATGTGACCTCATTTAGCCTGTAGACAGGGTGGAGTGAGGATGTTGAGTGGCAGGCTCTGCACTAAGGGAGGCTTCAGGCAAGGACAACTTGCTGTGACCCTCTGCCATTACCTCATCTCCTGAGGCCTGTTTTCTTGCTTGCCTTGCAATAGAGAAATACAGAAACTGATATTTATGACACTATGCATGTGGTTTTCACTGTAGAATTGTTTGTAATGGTAAAAGGTTGGCAATAGCCATCAATGGAGGACTGGTTAATTAAACTATGGTCCTTTCTTATAAAAGAATACCAAGCAGCTGTCAGAGAAGAATGATGGATCTGACTGGCTTCTGATATGGAAAAGTCTTATGAATGCACACCATTAACTCTAGAATACTGTGGGGGTGTGAAAAATGGGGTGGGGGTATGGGACAAAAACAACAAAAGTCAAGAGAATGGCACATTGTGGAGTGATGCAGCTCAGTGGTAGAGCACTTACTAGCATCCAGGAGGCCCTGGGTTTGATCCCTGGCAAAACACATACATGTGGTATATTGGCTACCTTTAGGAAGGAAAACTGAGCACCCGGTGATAAGAATGGAAGGAGAATTTTCACCATACGCCTTTCATATCTTTTGCACTATTTGCGTGTGTATGTATGTGGGAAGGTACTAGGAATTAAACCCAGGGATTCTCTAGGAATTGCTCATTGGGGCTTTAGCTCAGTGGCAGATGCAAGGCCCTGGGTTTGATCCCCTAGCCCTTTTAAAATATTTTATCTTGAGACAGGGCCTCACTAAGTTGCTGAAGATGGCCTTGAACTGATCCTCCTCCTTAACCTCTGGAGTAGCTGGGATTACAGGCATGCACAACCATTTGCGTTTTCTATGATGAATAGGTCTAATCTTTTCCAACACATGCACACATAGCTTTTTCACACATCATTTTTAGAAATAATTTGTGATTATGGGAAAATGTATATATAAAGTTTAACAATTTGTGAATGTATAATTCTGTGGCATTGAATTCATTCATAATGCTGTGTACCTATCACGTACCCAAAACATATATATCCCAAACATTTTCATCAGCCCCACCAAAAACTCTGTACCAATTAAACAAGAACTCTTCAATCCCCTTATTATAATCTCCCATAACCTCTATTCTACTTTCTGTGAATTTGCCTATTCTAGGTACCTTAAATAAGTAGAATGATATAGTATTTATCCTTCTTTGTCTGGCTTATGTCACTCTTCCACATTTTTTTTTTTTTTTAGTCCACCTATCAGTTGGGTAAATAAAGTTGTGAAAGTCCCAAACATCTTTAGAAATAGAAAAAATCTTGTGAAATGTGTGGACATGTCTTGGACAAGGTAGTTCCTGCCTCATGTTTCCTAGGAACCCCTACATAACCTTTAAAAGATTAATGGATGATTCTGTGGGATAATACCCTCTTAATCACATAAAATAAAGTCATGTAGTCACCACCTCCCATGAACCTTGGCTCATAGATGGTTTTTTAACCAGGACCCCAGAAGTCTTCAGGAGGTCCACGAATCGTTTCTGAAATTGTGTGCAAATTTTTTGGTGATGCCTTTCTGAAAAAATGCTCCTAAGCACCATTGCTAAATAGAATAAATAATGCTGTTCCCTCCCATGAAATGTACGAAAAAGCCCTTTGTTCATTAAGTAGACTACATGCATGATTAATGAACCTACATCAAAAGATAAATCTCTGACATGGGTTTTACTTAAAAAGTCTGGGGCTTAAAAAATAATCCTTAGGCCAGGCATAGTGGCACATGCCTATAATCCCAGTGGCTCAGGAGGCTAAGGCAGGAGGATCATGAGTTCAAAGCCAGCCTCAGCAAGGCAAGGCGCTAAGCAACTCAGTGAGACCCTGTCTCTAAATAAAATACAAAATAGGGCTGGGGATGTGGCTCAGTGGTTGAGTGCTCAAGTTCAATTCCCAGTACCAAAACAAACAACAACAACAACAAAATGATCCTTAGAATTGGTATACTTAATGAAAATAACATGACATATTCGATTTTGTGGCTCACAGGACAGATAATAGCAAGAAAATTACAAATTATCATATAAGGGGGTGGGTTTTTTTTCCATTCATTTCATAGATACAAAGCACACACTGAGTCATCTACAGTGTGAGTGTCCAGAATATAGCAGGAAATGAAACCATGTCTCTACTTGAATCTTATTAGTAGAATTAGTACATCAGGTAAGTGCTTCAGTGGAATTGAATAGAAAGTACCTGGAGATTTTATATTTAGGGTGCTTGGGAATTCCTCTGTGAAGAAGGGCATTTGAACTAAAACCTGAGGGGCAAGAATAAACCAGCCATGTAAAGAGATGGGAAAGGGTCATTCCCATTAGAATTAACAGCAGGTGCACAAGTTTAAGCCACAGGTGAGCTGAGAGTTACTGAGTGCTGCAATGGAGCTCAGGCTCCTCTGCATCTTCCAGCCTTGGACCTTTGAGAGCCTTTGCATCCTTTTACATCCACCCATCTTTCAGCAACCAGAGTGCTTTCAGCCCCCACATTTCCTTACTCCTACAAAACCCACTTCAGATTTTGGTTCTGTCACTGCCCTGCTTTGTGTGCAAACACCCCAGGTGACCCAACTGAACATGGAACACAGTGGGAAACAGCAGCAACACTGCTCCTGCGGGAATATTGTGATGGTGGAGACAGTAGGGACAATCACAGAGGCTGGGGGTGGGGTGGCAATGCTACCAGTGTGGCCTTGTGGGCTGACCCTCGCATTCACAGGTATCTTCAAGTCTACATGTTGCCATACATGCCATACAAAGGGTATTACCTTATTTGTGCATTAAGGTGCCATCTATTAAAAATTTAAGCATATTATATGTATATAATATATAAATATATAACTATACCATAATGTTTTGGTTTTGTATAGTGGGATACAATGAAATGGGAAGTAGTCCAGGTTTCTCTTACCCTGAAAGACCCAAATATAATGAGTTTTAAAGGAAGCTTGAGATAAAACACTGAATTTAAATTCTAGATTTCTAATATCTTGGCTGGCTACCTTTAGTAAATTTCTTAACCATGTTTGTAAGTTGGTCTGCATATAGAGATGAATATTCCAGGGTGAATTATAACAAGAATCTCCCCCATATCTAATTTAGGTGAGATTTCGATAAGATTTTTGGACTATAAGTTGATATTATAATAGAATGAGACTTTGGGGTCTAGGGATGCATGAGTCTTTGTCAAGTGAGATGGACATGGTTCACTGGGGACTAGAGATATCATACCTTATCCCCATAACTTATGAATGTTACCTTGGTAGGAAAAAGACTGTATGAGTGAGAGTACAATCTTGAGATGGAGACTACTAACCATGATTCTCAAAGTAAAAAAGGGAGGAGTCTATCATAGTGATGACATGTAGAACTAAATCTTTCCGCTGCTGGAATTTTGTTTGTTTGTGGTACTGGGGATTGAACTTTACTACATCCCCAGTGCTGCCTGAGACAAGGTCTTGCTAAATTTCCCACGCTGGCCTCAAACTTGTAATCCTCCTGCCTCAGCCTCCCTAGTCATTGGGATTATAGGCATGTGCCACCGGGCCCAGCTGCTGCTGCTGGTTTTGGAGATGGAGGAAGGGGCCAGTCAAGAGGCTGGGAAAACCAAAATACAAGAAAACAGATCCTACTCAGGACCTACTGAAAGGAAGGCAGCCCTGATAACACCTTGATTTTTGTGCTACGAAGCTGTTAGACTTCTGACCATATATTGCTTTAAGTCATGGAGTTTGTGATGTTAGAGCAACAATAGACAGTCAACAACATCTTATTCCTTAAGCTTGTTTTCCAGAAGTTTGTCAGTATGCCCAACTATAATAAGGCCTTCTATGTTGTCAGCATTTATTAACATTTATTAAATGTTAATATCCTTCTTGAAGATGAGAGGAAGCCAAGATGTAAATAATCATGAGCCAATATAAACACAATCAGAAATTTTCAAAAGACTACTTTCTAATTGAGTTTTCAGAGATAATACACTTTAAGATCGTGATAGATATTCCTTAGACAATTGCCTAGCAAACTCAAAAAAATATGTATGGTTTGCATGTAACACAAACAAGGAAAGCAGGTGAGTTAAGGGCTGCAGCAGGTGGGATGAGTGGTCCTTTAAGGGGCAGACCCTAGCCTAGCTAACTGATAGTAATGAATATGTAATGCAGGCCCAGTGTTGCCAGATACTTCAAAATTTCAAGAAGCTAGAAATCTTCACCTTTTTCTACAAAATATATATATGCATGTATGATGTTGGAGATGGAACCCAGGGTTTCCTGCATGCTAGGCAAGCACTCTAACAATTCCCAGGTAAGTGGCTTTCGAATGCAGTTTTTTGACACACATGTTCTTAAAACAAAAAAGTATTTTTCACAGTGCTTTTGGCATGCTTTCTAAATCTAAGAAGCTATAACTTATATGAATTTTTTTCAGAAAGACAGCTTCAACTTATATTCACATCTAGTTTTATTAAAATTATTTGGCAATTTTGATAGCAGTACAAACTCTTTTAACTATGACCATGGAACATATTTGATATGAGTCTGTGTTTTTGGTTTGTTATAGTTTTGGGTACATGTACATTTCTAAATCCTCTACCCTTCATTTCATTACTAAAGGAGAATTGCCTTAAGTTTCTCTATCTATTATCCATAGAAAAGGAATTTGTAAAATAAGGCTGAAAAAATAAAACACACAGATCCAAAAAATTCTCTTTGAATATCAAGAACATACAAAGAATACTAAAGACATCTACGTTTAGTCCTCCAGATAGCAAAGCAGGCATTTGATGTCTATGGGTTCTTGTTTTTACTTATTGCTAATTACAATTCAGAGACCAAAGTATTTCTGAAAGTCATTTAAAAAACCCTCAGTGAAACAAACTCCTAGCCTGGTTCCATGGAATTAGAGGATAGAACCAGGAGAGCACATGATTTGGCCTGTAAAATCACAAGACTTTTTCCTTTAGTGAGATTTTTCTTCTGCAGTTGCACAGGGCACTATGGCTTGTTTAATGCCTTATCATTAACATCTGCCTTACAGTAGATCTAAATATTGGCTTATTTAAGTGTGTTACTGGACAGCAAATGGTGAGAGCCTCCCTGTCCAAGGCAAAAGTTGCGTGGACCTTAAAGCAAAACCTTGTGGGGTTCAGTACTCCTTAGTTGTTCTCCAGCGAACCTGAAGTTGGCTGTAAGAAAGGAGAGAAGAAAGCTGGGTAAGAATTTTTTTCTCAAGACATTTCAGCTTATTTTAAGTCATCTTGCTTCTGCAGCAGGGGATGAGAACTTGGCAAGGCAGTGGAGCCTTGTTGTTTTGTTCCTGATAAGATTATCTCTTGGTTCAGAATAAGGGAGATAAAGACACAACATGGCAGTAACTTGAGAAAATTCCACTCTTGCTTCTCTCAAAGGCTGTGCTTTTGATAGCTTCAAGGGGATTATTTTCAGGTGCTATTTCTGGACATTCCAATTACCAGTAGAGACCATTTCACTCAACAGCCCATTTATTTCACCAGGTGTAGAAGACTGCTTGCTGTACAGATGCCGTATTATTTTTAATTGGGCAGCTGTCCTATTATTTTTAGGTGGAAATGTTTGTTCCTCAAGAAGGAATAGAATGAAAGTGGCAGAGCACTTGCCTTGCATGCACAAGGCCCTGGGTTCAATTCCCAGTACAGTAAAAAAGAAAAAGAAAAAACAACCCAAACTCTATTATCTGTGATCTAAATAGCATCACATCTCAAAGAAAAAGCAAATTTAGCAATCAAAATGGACAAGTTTCATTAGTTATATCATCAGAATAGAACCTCAACTTTATAAAGTTTAACTATGCAACTTATTTGTGCTGCTCCAACAAATGAAATCTATGAAGAGTAAGTCATGAAAGTTATGTTAAATCATTTCAATTGCCCAAATAAATGAAGAGAAAACATTTTCTTTTTTTAATTTTTTTTAAAAATATTTTTTTGGTTGTTGATAGACCTTTATTTTTATTTATTTATATGTGGTGCTGAGAATCGAACCCAGTGCCTCACACATGCCAGGCAAGTGCGTTACTGCTGAGCCCCAGCCCCAGCCCCAAGAAAACATTTTCTTTAGGAATGAGCTCACACTTTGAAGTTTCTCAATAAATAATATTTTGCATCTAATTTTTAATACAAATTGAGAATATAGTCTCCAAAATTCAAGATATAATTAAGATATATTGGGTCTTTCCCCTGAGCTCAGGTTCATCTCATTTTTTTAAAATTTGAGAATACTTAAAACTTAAGATATTCAAATAATATTTATAACAATAGCAATGCATACAGTGTAATATTGCCAACCCACAAAGCAGTAAAAACCCAGAAAAGAGAAATTATACTTACAAATGGAGTTCTGATTCCAAATTTGCTGTGGAATGTCATGGTGACTTTGTTTTTATGTCCTGTTCTTTGATCAAAGGCGTGGCACGTATCAAAAGGAGGACTGTACAAGTGCAGACTCACGGCAGGTTCTGTATGGCTGATATTCTCTACTCGGTGTAAGCCAATGGAATCTGAGTAATATCAAAGAGGAAAGAAGAGATACAGGAGCTTAGATTCTAAGACAGGCAAAAACTTTTGTTAATCACCTGATTCTGAGTCAATATTGTTACATATAGAATTAACAGAAATTAGTTAGAATTAAACTTTTATTTAAAGACAGTGACAGATGGTTAGTGACAATGATTACTCAGACACATTAGCTTCTGCTCCTTCCTGAAAATCCCCTCCTATTGCAGTAAAGGAATAATAAAAAAAAAAAAATCAACATACAAAGACAAAAAAATGTAAAAGAGAAAATGTTAGTGAGGAAAGTCAAGGAATAAACTGATTTATGTCTTGAAGCTCTTACATAACTAGGAATTGGCAGCACCAGTTATTTCTGGAAATTAGGGTGAATATGGGGCTAAAATATACCAACTGGTTGAAAGACTACTTAGGAAGCAGAGTCTCAAATCTTTTACCGATTCTCTCTCCCTTTCCTTCCAGTAGAAGACAGATCTATTCTTCAGAAAGTATAATAGGTGAACTTGGGACTGGTGGACCATAGGTTAAAAAAAACAAACAAACAAAAAAAAAAAAAAAAAACAGGTGAATTAAACAAAAATTTACATATTGAATGATAAGAACCCTGCTTTTATAACTACCTAGCTGCTGGACAGAATTTTTCTTTCCAGGTAGGAGATGGGAAGCTGCTTCTCAAGGAATTTTATTGGCTCAAAAAAAAAAAAAAAAAAAAATACCCTAAAGTATATTTTCATTGGTAGTTTCTAAAGGAAAGGGCTCTGTCAGATGACCACAGAGTGAAATCCAGTTGACAAGCCCTGGTAGTTTAGATAGTTTAGAGCTATCTATTAACTTTTTTCTCCCTTGGTTTTTACACATTAGCACATGGCCAAGGCCACAGGATATTTGAGCTGGCCTCTAGTACATAGGCCAGAGCAACCTGAAAAATGCAACTTCAAACAATGGTTATTCAGGAAAAGACTTTAGAAAGCCTCTCATTAACATCCTCAGTAAGATAAAATTTTATAAAAGGGATCAAAAAAGAAAAAAAAATAAAAGGGATCAGAAAATGAAAAGGGCTTTAGAAATAAAAATCTGGATAGAAGAGTGGACAGAAAAAGCCGAGGGTGATTCAAAGAACAAAACGACAAAGAAAAAATAGAAAAGAAAAATATCAGATAGTTGAGGAGGTTTAAAATTTAAACAACAGGAGTTTCATAAACATAACAAAAAAGAAAGAACCTGAGGATATTTTCTAGAATTGAAGGACGCAAATGTCCAGATTCAAAGAACCCACTGAATACCCTGCACAGTGAAGAAGTCATCAAGCAAGATGCATCTGTGTGACATTTTGCAACACAAAATAATGGCACTGAAAGAAAAGATTCCAAAAATTTCTAGAAAGCAAACAATGTCTAGGTTTCATAGATTTAAGAATCAAAATTGCACTGGACTTTTGACAAGAACACTAGTAAACCAAAAGACAAAAATGATGATCTTCATAGTTCTGAGGGATGGTGTTTGCCAGATAAGTCATCATCTATATCCAGCTTAATTACCAATTGAGTTGTAGGGACTGAAAACACAGATTTTTAGATATTTGAGGTCTCAAAAATTTACATTCCATGATTCTTTTCTCACAGTGCTGCTGGAGGATATGTTCACTAAAATAAGGGTGTGAAGCAAGAACAAAGGAAACAGGAGACCAGGAAACAGAGAACCAATACAAAGGAGCAAAGGGTTGCTTGGGATGTTGTAAGGGGAATCTCAAGTTGACAGCCAAGCCATGGTTTAGAGATCATCCCATTTGTATTGAAGTAGTCAAAAAGCCCTGGGAGAAATACTTTCAACCAGATTTTAAAAAACAAAACCCCAAAAGACTCAATGAAGAATAATATCTAGAAGCAGAAAACTTAGGTTCTACTTCTAGCTAGAGTGAAAAGCTAGGCTACCATTGAACAAGTCACAATTTTGAGAATCTTCTTATTTTAGAAATAAGGGTTTCCCTATTTCTAAAAGTGCCTTGACTCTATAGCTTACTGCTTTTGTAATGCTTTAAGCACAATTCTGAATAAATGCTCAGCATTCCTAAGAATTAACTGCCCTGGATACAAATAATTTTGTTTCTCCAGTTGCAGGCACATATACCATCCAATCCACTATGGAAATCCTGCAGAGAAAGACCCTGAAAAAATAAGTCACCATCCTTTAGAGAAGCCCTTAGTCTCAGTATCATGTGTGAGCCCTACTATTAATAATCCCAGCACTGTCACTACTGCATTTTGATTTTTGCCTTCTCTTCCTTTATGTTCATGATGTGCCTTGCCTTTCTTAGTGATATTTAGGAAGGCTAGTTTCACCCATGCACTATTGATTTTTCACACATTACAATAGGTGACTTGGTCTCTTTACCCCAGTTCTCCCTTCTCTTCCAGCATGTGTTACCAAATTGATCAAGATATTCCCAATTACAACTCTATTTACTAAAGAAAGCTTATACTTTCATCTGTTTTTTGGAAGTCCAGGTCCCAATATCTCTCTGTTCTCTTACTACCACCTTCCAAGCCCATTCTTCCTTCTTTGTTTCCCCATTCCTGAAGTTTCCAGTCTTTGTGAGGACTGCCTTCACTCATCCTCTTTCTTGTACTCTATCCTCAATCTTGCATCTGTACAAATCAGAGGTTGAAGATCTGCAGCTTTTAAGTATTTGGGGTAGTCTACAGAAAGATTTAGTGTATCCCACCCAATATTTTATTGATTGACAAAAATTCACATAAAAACCAGAAGTTCCAACTTCTATGGAAAAAGAAATCAGTTGATATCATTGGAGCTGGCAATCACTGCTATCCCCTTAGTGTGGCTTGCACACTTCAGTTATCAGGTCCTCACTACAGCCTTATGCCAGGCTGCAGTACTCACTTATCTACATGCTTGGCTTCTACAGCCTTTTACATTGGAGGACCCCTGAAAAGGCTTATCTATTTTTCAAGATCTAATCTATTTTCTCAAAGACTCACTCCCGCTGCAAGTGATTGTTCTGAAAGGCTTTTGGCTTTATTGTGTATGGTACAGTTAAGAAACTGTCTTATAAATGTGGTATGCCTTATATATAGCAACCCTCAAATATCTGAGAAGATAAGTTAAGAATTTTCAAGTGCATAGGAAATGAATAACCTTGTGTTATGTAAATAGAGGGAAAAATTCCCATGTGGTCTGATCTTTGTAAGTGACTTGCATTCCTAAACCAATGATTTAACAAATTTAGGCCAAGTATTAGGGCCAATAGAAGACTAAGACATATGAAGGAACAACTAGCTTTGAAGTCTATGTAATTCTTTGTTTTATATAAGTGGGAGAACATCCTAATTAAGAGCATATGCTCTGAGAGTTCAAATCCTGGCTGTCACTTAAAAGCTGAATGACTTCAGAAAAGTTATTTAATCTTCCTATGTGTTGGCAACCTCACATATAAATGAGAATTCAAGTTATTTATCTCATATGTTTTAATGAGCTTTTTGGAAAGTTCCCATCCCTTTTGGGAAAATAGAAGTTAAATCAGTACCTCTTCTGAAAAGTATTTGGCTTTCCTATACCATACCCAGGAAAAGAATGAATTCTTAGTAAGACATCTATAATAAATCACTGCCTCCAGATATATTCTTTTCCTTGAGGAAAGTCTTTTAAATATGCTGTTTGCATTTTAGAAAAACAGAGACTAGCTGGTGTTCTTAATCACTTCCAGAACATTTCTTTACATTTTCTAACACAAAGATTACTATTTCCAACTTGATCTCTTTTGTTGAAAAACTATACTTAATGTGTGTCTCTAATTTTTTTTGTTTGTTTTGTGTGTTCTAATCTTCCCAAGTTTTGGCAGGTAAATCACCTTTTACCACCCCTTTAAGTAGTCTGCATATTTTTAATAAACGATTCAAACCCAAAAGCAAAGATTAAAAAATAAAACACACTGTGTTTAGGTCATTACCCAAGTATTTTAAATCATGACTCTGACAAATTTCAAAACATGAATGTAAGTAACCAGCATTTTAGATAAGAGACCATAGTTTATCCCACTTGCCCTTAGAGAAAGGATAGGATGTTACCATTGATGTAGGCACACTGGTTTTCCCTCAAGGTCCTTTCAGACTTCTTAATCATCTCGTTGGATTTTTTGTCAGGCCAGGCAAATAAAGTCTCCTTTAGATTTCCTTGCAACAGCTTCAGAAAGCAGTGGGAGTCCGTGTGATCATGAATACTGCTATATATACACAAAAGGACAATTGAACTCAGTAGCTGGTCAAGTACCCAGTCTGCCCAGAGTGACACGTACATACTGTCCAGAGGACAACTCCCAGGCCCAAATCAATTTCTGCCAAATTTTCAAAATGTCATCAATTTATAATGCAACATTGTTCAGGGCCAAGTAATAAAATAATGTTTGCGCGGGGGGGGGGGGCGGCTCTACCCTTCCGCAGGCCGCTGGGCCTGTTCTGTCTGTCGGTTGCAGGTCTGGCCTGTTCTGTTGGTGGTCAGCGATACCAGACTTCAAACTATACTACAGAGCAATAGTAACAAAAACAGCATGGTACTGGTACCAAAACAGGCGGGTGGACCAATGGTACAGAATAGAGGACACAGAAACCAATCCACAAAACTACAACTATCTTATATTTGATAAAGGG